ATCCTCAGATTTCAGCCTCCTGAGTAGTTAGGATTACAGGCGTGAGCCACCAGCGCCCGGCTGCTTATGCAATCTTAACACTGGACTACATACGTCTCCAAAGAGGAAAGATAGCTTGACTTCAGTTGTTACCAGAGAAATTTCTGGAGCTTGAAATGTTACTAGGTGACAGTTTGGCTAGAGAGATACATGTTTCTATTCTGCTAAGTGTTCTTTTTGAACTATAGACTTATTTAAGTATTTAGTATTTAGCTTACTCCAGGTTATTGATTCAATCTTGGTTTCTGTGATAAACTATTTGGACTTAATCTTTACTACTCCTGGGTTCTCTTTATAGTATATTGTAATCTGTGGCTTTTTTTTTTTTTCTTTTTCCTCCCAGTTGTCAGTATTGGGGATTGAAGTCAGGGATTTGTGCTTAGCAAGCAAACTGCCACTTAAGTCATACCAGAATCACCTTGCTTATAAGTTGTTTTTCAGATAGAATCTTCTATTTGGCCAATATAGCCTTGAATAGAGCAGCAGGAATATAGGTATATTGTAACACCTGGCCCACCTCACTATTTTGAATCTTTACTGAGATGTAAATAATAGGGCTTATAGATGGCTCACTTAAAGTGGTTTTAGTGGTTTCTTTTTTTTGCCTGTCCTGGAGCTTAAACTTTGGGTCTGGGTGCTGTCCCTGAGCCTCTTTGTGCTCAAGGATAGTGCTTTACCACTTGAGCCACAACACCATTTCTGGCTTTTTCTGAGTAGTTTATTGGATATAAGACTCTCACAGACTTTATTGCTTCATACTGTGATCCTCACATCTCAGCCTCCTGAGTAGCTAGGATTACAGGCATGAGCCACAGGCTCCTGGCTAGTGGTTTCTAAGATAGTCTTGAAGTTGTACAACTGTTACTAGGCAGTTTTAAGATTTTTATCATGCTAAAAGAAACTGCAGCACAGTTGGCTCTATATTTTTCTCCAACTTCCGTTACTATAGACAACTATTAATCTATTTTTTGTCTCTTTGGATTTACTTACTCTGGGTATTTCACATAAATGTATTATGTACTATAATAGGGTATTTGTGACTAGCTGCTTACACCAAGCATAATGTTTCCAGTGTTTATTTACATTTGTTGGTTAATTGTTACACTGGAGCTTGAACTCAGCCTTATGAATGAATGCTAGACAAGGACTTTTTTTACTAAGCTGTATCCCTAGTCCCTGTTGTGTGCTTTATTTATTTAATTTGTTTGTTGAGACAGCATTTCTCTATATATTTCAGGCTTACCTTGAACCACTATGTAACCCAGGTTGACCTTGGGCTGTCAATCTTCCTGCTTCAGTCTTAGGGGTTAATAGGAGCTGGGATACAAGTGTGTACTACTATACTATGTATTTTTTTTTTTTTTTTTGGGTCCGGTCGTGGGACCTGAACTCTGGGCCTGGGCGCTGTCCCTCAGCTCTTCAGCTCAAGGCTAGTGCTCTACCACCTGAGCCACAGTGCCACTTCCGGCTTTTTTCTTTTTGCTTATGTGGTACTGAGGAATCGAACCCAGGGCCTCATGCATGCAAAGCAAGCGCTCTGCCACTGAGCCACATTCCCAGCCCCTATATGTATTTATTGTGGTGTTTTGTTTGTTTTACTTTTGATGATACTGAGGCTTGAACTGGAGCCCTCATGCTTATTAGGCAGTCACCACCACTTGAAGCCTCCCTCTTTTTTTTTGACCAGTCCTGGAGCTTGAACTCAGAGTCTAGGCATTGTCTTTGAGCTTTTTTTGCTCAAGGCTAGCATTTGACTATTTGAGCTACAGTTCCACTTCCAGCTTTTTGGTAGTTAATTGGAGATAACAGCCTCACGGACTTTCCTGCCTTTGCTAGCTTTGAATCACAGTTCTCAGATCTTAGCCTCCTAAGTAACTAATATTACAGGTGTGAGCCACTGGCACCCACATCCCATTGTCTTCATAACTTGAGTAGATGTCCCAAGTGTAGTCTTTGGGGCTTGTGCAGGAACTTTTGTATCAGGACTCCTTTGGGAGACGTTCGGTGGTGAGCTAGTTGAGATATATGGAGAGCTTCTTGCTTTCCTGGTTGGCCCTGGTTTGTTCTCTGCTCCTTGTTCTTTTCTCTGACCCTGTAGGGCTTGTTAGGCATTCATTTCCATGGCAGATGTAGCCACTGTGCTTCACTCTAGAGAATTTCCCTATCATTTCAAGTCTTTGTACAGTTCAGTGGGAGTTGAACTCTTGGTTGGGTTCCTTTTTCAGAGCCAGGAGCCATTGCCAGATGATGATGAGGAGTTCGAGCTCCCAGAATTTGTGGAGCCCTTTCTGAAGGACACACCCCTCTACACAGACAATACAGCCAATGGCATTGCCCTGCTTTGGGCCCCACGACCCTTCAACCTACGTTCTGGTCGCACCCGCCGGGCCCTGGACATACCTCTTGTCAAGAACTGGTAAGCTTTCTACCTAGGGGAATGGCAGCAGATGTGTAGAATATAAGAATACATCTAGTTGGGTGTGCAGTTTTTTCTAGCATGTGTAGGAAAGATGGACAAAGCTCTAATTGGTATTTTTCTCCTAGGTATCGGGAGCATTGTCCAGCTGGACAGCCTGTGAAAGTGCGAGTCTCCTATCAGAAATTGCTTAAGTACTATGTGCTGAATGCCTTGAAGCATCGGCCTCCTAAGGCCCAAAAGAAGAGGTAAGACAACAGAGAGCCCTGCTTTAACTTGTGTTCCAAAGATAATTAGTATGTATGTGCCTTTGATCATATAATATTTTTTGAAATGAACTCTAGGAATAGAAGCAAGATTTTTTTTCTCTGCTGTTTTTTTTGTTTTATTTCCATTTTGTCTTATTTGTTCATTTATCTATCTTTGGGAGGGTAAGTGGGGCACACAGAAATGCAGGGACGAAGGATGAGCAAATGTAGCAGTGATACTCACTAGACACTTGAGAATGAACTACACAACTTGTGAGTGAGAATAGGAGAGAACAATGGGAGAGAGGGTGACATTGCTCAAAAGGAAACAGTACTCTACTGTTATATATAATTGTAACCCCTTTGTACATGAAAAAAATAATCAGTACACTAATTTTCACTTTTTATTCTCACCCAGGTATCTGTTCCGCTCCTTTAAGGCTACCAAATTCTTTCAGTCCACAAAGCTGGACTGGGTGGAGGTGGGCCTGCAAGTTTGCCGCCAGGGATACAACATGCTTAACCTTCTCATTCATCGAAAAAATCTCAACTACCTTCACCTGGACTATAACTTCAACCTCAAGCCCGTTAAGACACTCACCACCAAGGTGTCTGCATTGGACCTTAGGGTTCTCCTCGGCTTAGGGAGGATTATTATTGTCACTGGAAACACTGCTTATTTTATATTCTTTCTGTTTTGGTATCTTCAGGAAAGAAAGAAATCTCGTTTTGGGAATGCGTTTCATCTTTGTCGGGAAGTACTGCGATTAACTAAGCTGGTTGTGGACAGTCACGTGCAGTATCGCTTGGGCAATGTGGATGCTTTCCAGGTAAGGCCAAGTATCCCTGACCCAGTTTGGGGGAGGTTAGGTGGAATCTGTAATGACTGTGGAGCTGGCTCAGGCTCAAAGTCTGATGGGCAATTATGTTGCAGCTGGCAGATGGACTGCAGTATATATTTGCCCATGTGGGGCAGCTGACAGGCATGTATCGATACAAATACAAGTTGATGCGACAAATCCGCATGTGCAAGGACCTGAAGCATCTCATCTATTACCGCTTCAACACGGTGAGACTCTTCTTTTAGTTTTTAAATTTACTTTTTTCTATTTTTATTTCTGAAGTCCTTCTGGAGGAATTTTTTTTTTTTTTTTGGTCAGTTTTGAGGCTTGAATTCAGGGCCTAGGCGCTATCCCTGAGCTCTTTTGGTACAGGCTAGCATTATACCACTTTGAGCCATAGCTCCATTTCCAGTTTCCAGTTTTCTGGTGGTTAATTGAAATAAGAGTCTCACAAACTTTCCAGTCTAGGCTGGCTTTGAACCTTGATTCTTAGATCTCAGCCTTCTAGTAGCTAGGATTACATATAGGAGACACTAGTGCCTAGCTAGGAAATACTTATTTAGGGGAATCATACTAGGATCCTGAAAGTTGTACTTCCGCCTTGCTAGGCTGGTACTCCATGTGAGCTATACCTCCAACAATCCATTTTCTTTTCTAAAAACTGATCAGGGTTCTCTCCAGGAACTTATTTGAAGAAAGGCTATGCGTATGCTATTACTGCTCTCACTTTGTAAATTTCATCACATTCTCCCAAAATGTAACATAAATCTAAGTAGAGAATCTTATTTCTGGTTTTGTTTTCTATTTTAGGTATTGAAGTTCCAAAGTGTTTACTTTTTACCCCCCCCTTTTTTTTTACCCCCCCCCTTTTAAAAAAAAAAAAAAAAACTAAGACAGTTTTTTTCTAGTGCTGAGGATTGAACCCAGGGCTTTGAGAATGCTAGGCAGGCTGCCATTGAAAACATCCCCAGTCCTCCACTCACTTTACTTGTGATCTCTTAATAAATAGCTAATTCATATGCTTGATTTCTGCTTGGGATTGTAGGGCCCTGTAGGGAAGGGCCCTGGCTGTGGCTTCTGGGCTGCTGGCTGGCGAGTCTGGCTGTTTTTCATGCGTGGCATTACCCCTTTGCTGGAAAGATGGCTGGGCAACCTCCTGGCCCGGCAATTTGAAGGTGAGTAATCCTCTTTGTCTAACTTTTGTTTATTTGTTAAAGTTTTAGCAAGGCTTTATTTTACTATAATAGGAAAAAGTAGAGACAAATGGAAATAGAGAAACATTTCATGTTCCAATTGTAAAATGGATTATGGGAATTAAAGATTCCTGTACAACTTCTCAGGGCTCCTTGAAGGGCAGATAGTGTGTGTGGGTTTTTTTTTTGTTTGTTTTGTTTGTTTTTGTTTTTGTCCGTTATGGGCTTGAACTTGGCCTGGCTTCTGTACCCCAGCTCTTAAGCTCAAGGTTTGATTGATCCATAGCATCACTTTCAATTTTCTGGTGGTTAATTGGAGATAAGAGTCTTGTAGACTTTCCTTACCAGAGCTGGCTTTGAACCGTGATCCTCAGATCTCAGCTCCTGAGTAGCTAGGATTATAGGCATGAGCCATCAGTGCCCGGCTTATGTGTGTTTCTTTTTTTGTGTTTTTGACAGTCATGGGGCTTGAACTCTGGGCCTAGGCGCTGTCACTCAGCTCTTTAGCTCTAGGCGAGTACTCTACCACTTGAGCCTCTACCGCCTGAGCCGCAGTGCCACTTCTAGTTTTCTGGTGGTTTATTGGAGATAAGAGTCATAGGCTTTCCTGCCCAGATTGGCCTTTAACCATGATCCTCAGATCTCAGCCTCCTTAGTAGCTAGGATTATAGGCATGAGCCACTGGCACCTGGCACCCGGCTGATGGGTATATATTATCTGACTCCTGCCTTTGCATGAATCGTTCTGGAGTGCTTCTGAATCCCATTTATCAATGACCTGTAGTATTCTGTTTCTTTTTCTCTGGAATTTTGAGGCTACCATGAATTTACAGGACTGGAAATTCCTCACAAGTATAGTTGTGAATATCTGAGATAGCTTATCTTTTTGCATGTGCTAGGTGTAGAGATGCTTTGTTAATATTTACTGATTTTTTTTTTTATCACCTTGGGCCATCTCTTCTAGGCCGACATTCAAAGGGGGTAGCAAAGACAGTGACAAAGCAGCGAGTGGAATCCCATTTTGACCTTGAACTTCGGGCAGCTGTGATGCATGATATTCTGGACATGATGCCTGAAGGCATCAAACAGAACAAGGCCCGGACAATTCTGCAGCACCTCAGTGAAGCCTGGCGCTGCTGGAAGGCAAACATTCCCTGGAAGGTAAGCTTATCCCCATCTCAAAGGAGTCATGGCCATCTTCCAGGGATTAGGGCTACAACTCCCACACCCTTAAGGGCTGTCTGGCTTCTAGCACTGCTTTCATTTTCTCATTGCACTTGTACTTTCAGGTCCCAGGGCTGCCAACACCCATAGAGAATATGATCCTTCGATATGTGAAGGCCAAGGCTGACTGGTGGACTAACACTGCCCATTACAACAGAGAACGGATTCGTCGTGGGGCCACTGTAGACAAGACTGTTTGCAAAAAGAACTTGGGCCGCCTCACCCGACTCTATCTGAAGGCAGAACAGGAGCGGCAGCACAATTACCTGAAGGTTGGATGGAGTAGCCTAGGCAGGATGTTGGGGGTTGTTCAGGAGGTGGACCACAGAGTTGAGACCATGCCTTGTTCTGGGTTTAGACTATAGCAAGAGATTAATTACATGTTCTCCTTGCAGGATGGGCCTTACATCACAGCAGAGGAAGCAGTAGCAGTGTATACCACCACTGTACATTGGTTGGAAAGTCGTAGGTTCTCTCCCATCCCTTTTCCCCCACTTTCCTACAAGCATGATACCAAGTTGCTCATCTTGGCTCTGGAGCGACTCAAGGAAGCTTATAGGTAAGAAGTGGGCTAGATGGGTAATAGAGGAGTTAGTTTTATTGTCAAAGTCCAAAGAAAAGTTTACCCATAATTCTTTCTGGCTTTGGTGTCCTCTTGGTTTTCTCATTCACCTTTCTGTTGCTTTGTCAGTGTCAAGTCTCGGTTGAATCAGTCCCAGAGGGAGGAGCTAGGTCTGATTGAGCAAGCTTATGACAACCCCCATGAGGCATTGTCCCGCATCAAGCGTCACCTTCTTACACAGAGAGCCTTTAAGGAAGTGAGTGAGATGCACCCTAAGTTGTCTTTTGGCCTGTATTATTTATTCTTGGCACCAAGGTAGCAGTTACCGCAAGTGATGAGTGGACTGATGTGAGAGTTTCCTTATCTCACAGGTGGGCATTGAGTTTATGGACCTCTATAGCCACCTAGTACCAGTGTATGATGTAGAGCCACTGGAGAAGATAACTGATGCTTACCTGGACCAATATCTGTGGTATGAAGCAGACAAACGACGCCTTTTCCCACCTTGGATCAAGCCTGCTGACACAGAACCACCTCCACTGCTTGTTTACAAGTGGTGCCAAGGTAAAACTGGAATCATCTTTGAAGATATGGGGGAAAAGAAGTCTGTGAATTGAGTTGTGCATCGAAATTCTTCCCTCAGCTGAATCATCAATCTATTTTTTTTTGCCAGTTGTGGGGGTTGAACTCTGGGCCTGGGCGCTGTCCCTCAGCTCTTCAACTCAAGGCTAGTGCTCTACCACTTGAGACACAGCGCCACTTCCGGCTTTTTTCTTTTTCTTTTTTTTTTTTTGCTTATGTGGTGCTGAGGAATCGAACTCAGGGCCTCATGCGTGCAAGGCAAGCACTCTACCACTGAGCCAACTTTATAACACGGCCATAGTGTTGATGTTAAATTGCGCATCACTAACACTTGTAGCAGACTGAAATAGTGAGTGTGTGGTAGTGGAATTGAATTATGGAATGACACTAGAAAGGGAATTTTTAATCTGCTGGAGCTCTGTCTTGCCTATTCCTTAGGTATCAATAATCTTCAGGATGTATGGGAGACCAGTGAGGGCGAGTGTAATGTTATGCTGGAATCACGCTTTGAGAAGATGTATGAAAAGATTGACTTGACCCTACTTAATAGGCTACTGCGACTTATTGTGGACCACAACATAGCTGACTACATGACAGCTAAGAACAATGTTGTCATCAACTATAAGGTGTGTCCAAGGGCAAGGCAGCACATAATTGTGTTGGGGAAGGGGTTGCCTGGACCACAGAGTTAACAGTTTGCTGAAGGTAGAACAAAAAAGGGTTGGATTCTTAAGAAGCCTGATTCATAGCCATGGGTTTGAAGACTTGTGGTTCTTTTTTTCTAGGACATGAACCATACAAATTCATATGGCATCATCAGAGGTTTGCAGTTTGCCTCATTCATAGTGCAGTACTATGGCTTAGTGATGGATTTGCTTGTGTTGGGATTGCACCGGGCCAGTGAGATGGCTGGACCCCCTCAGATGCCAAATGATTTCCTCAGTTTCCAAGACATAGCCACTGAGGCTGCCCACCCCATCCGACTCTTCTGTCGATACATCGATCGCATCCATATTTTCTTCAGGTAAGGGACTTGCACAGACTCATTTCCCTGCATTGAGACATGATCTGCCTATCAAAGCTGCTAGTCTTGACTCACTTATGGGCAGATTTAAAAGTAAAATGAAATTTGGGTTGGAATGGAATTTTCATATTTGGAGCTAGAATTTTAATAAGGTATCAGTGTATTTACTCATCAACAATATGCCTTCCTTGTGTAGATTCACAGCAGATGAAGCTCGGGACCTGATCCAACGTTACTTGACAGAGCATCCTGACCCCAACAATGAGAACATTGTTGGATATAATAACAAGAAATGCTGGCCCCGAGATGCTCGCATGCGTCTCATGAAGCACGATGTCAACTTGTGAGTTACATTGGGGCTATAGGACTAGGAAGGATATCAGCCTGAGGGACATGAGAAGAGTTAGGAAGTTGTATTCTGGGTGTGAGGTGTATAGCCCAATATCTAAAGACTGATGTAATTCTGTTCTCTGTGCTCAGGGGTCGAGCAGTCTTCTGGGACATCAAGAACCGTCTGCCACGATCGGTGACCACAGTTCAGTGGGAGAACAGCTTTGTGTCTGTGTATAGTAAAGATAACCCCAACCTGCTGTTCAACATGTGTGGCTTTGAGTGCCGCATCCTGCCTAAATGCCGTACCAGCTATGAGGAGTTCACTCACAAAGATGGAGTCTGGAATCTACAGAATGAGGTACAGTCTGGAAAGGGCATTATGAGTAACATTACCTCTCCCTTCCATTTCTGGGGTAAATGGGGTGAGAAACACAGGCATTCCCTTTCATTATCAGTCCAGTGAGCCTTATATGGTACTAACAGTCCATGGAGATTTAGTGGTGCTCACAGTTGTTTCTTGCTTCTGTTGCAATCCCAGAGATGATTAAACTTTGACCTTGTGGTTTAGGTAACCAAGGAGCGAACAGCCCAATGTTTCCTGCGTGTGGATGATGAGTCAATGCAGCGCTTCCATAATCGTGTGCGTCAAATTTTGATGGCCTCTGGATCTACCACCTTCACAAAGGTACAGAAAGCTCTGAGCCCTCACTTCTTTCACATTTCCCTGATCATCTCTCAGCCCTTTTAGCTCCCCCTGATTTGAGCTCCTTTCTTCCCAGCTTTGCTTATGGTATACCTGTCTTCATACTTTATGGCAGAAGTGGGAAATATCCAACCAGTCCATGGTCCATTCAGAGCTCTTCTTTTTTTTTTTTTTTTTGGGTCCAGTCATGGGGCTTGAACTCTGGGCCTGGACACTGTCCCTCAGCTCTTCAGCTCAAGGCTAGCGCTCTACCACTTGAGCCACAGCGCCACTTCCGGCTTTTTTTCTTATGTGGTGCTGAGGAATCCAAACCAGGGCCTCAGGCATGCAAGGCAAGTGCTCTACCACTGAGCCACCTTCCCAGCCCCACAGGTTTTTATTTGGACATATGTTTTTATTTTTCTTGGGTACATATGTGGGAGTCGAATTTCTCAGTAATGTAGTAACATTTTCTAGGGACTTCCAGTATTCAGTAATTGCACCATTTTACATGGCTCACAGTAGTACTGTGAAGGTTCCATTTTCTCTATATCCTTGCTAATTTTTCTCACACCACCATCTTGTAGGTCTGAAGTCTTTTATGAAGCCCCCCGCCCCCCGCCCCCGCCTTCCATGGCTCATCTAGAATTCTTTCCTACCAACTTTAGATTGTGAATAAGTGGAATACAGCTCTCATTGGCCTTATGACATACTTTCGAGAGGCTGTAGTGAACACCCAGGAACTCCTAGACTTGCTGGTAAAGTGTGAGAATAAGATCCAGACACGTATCAAGATTGGACTCAACTCCAAGATGCCAAGTCGATTTCCTCCTGTTGTGTTCTACACTCCTAAGGAATTGGGTGGACTTGGCATGCTTTCCATGGGGCATGTGCTAATCCCCCAGTCTGACCTCAGGTAAGGCTTCATTGAGAATCTCTACTATGAGACACCGTTGTTTAGACCCTTCAGGAAAATGGGTATTTTTTTACTTTTGGTCTTTTCTCTGTTATCTGTGTTGCTCCAAATAGGTGGTCCAAGCAGACAGATGTAGGTATTACACACTTTCGTTCAGGAATGAGTCATGAAGAAGACCAGCTGATTCCCAACTTATACCGCTACATACAGCCATGGGAGAGTGAATTCATTGACTCTCAGCGGGTCTGGGCTGAATATGCACTCAAGAGACAAGAGGCCATTGCTCAGAACAGGTGGGCATCTGGGAAGTCACAGCAGTCTGTGGGGAGTCTTGTAAGGAGGTGATGGGCAGAATATTACTTTTGGGGGTGGGGGGGAGGAGGTGTCTTGCATTGGGGCTCGAATTCCTCAGGGCCTGGGTGCTGTCCCAGAGCTTTTTTGGTCAAGGTTAACTCTCTAACACTTGAGTCACAGCTCCATTTCTAGCTTTTTGGTGCTTAATTGGAGATGAGGATCTTATGGACTTTCCTGCCCAGGCTGGCTTTGAACTTCAGTCCTCACATCGCAGCCTCCTAAGTATGAGCCATTAGTACCTAGCTAGAACCTGACATTTTTTTAATGAAAAAGTTAGGTTTTTTTTTGGGTCCGGTCGTGGGGCCTGGACTCTGGGCCTGGGCACTGTCCCTCAGTCCTTCA